TTATTGAAAATATCGGCTTGCCTAGTATCGAGATAGGCGTCATCACGACAGGTTGGGAATTTGGGTCGTGACAAGTTGGTATCAGAGCCTAGGTTACATAGGTCTCACGAGTCATGAACAGGTTTAGTAGTCTTGCGGATCGGTACGGAGATGTCTGTACTTATCTTCGAGAGGTTGCATAACTCTTAGAAAAACATCACTTTCTTGTATTCTGTCATGGAAATTTGTTGATTCCGTAAACAAAATTTCTGTTATTCTATTCTCTCACAGATGGTGAGGATACGTACTACCGGATCGGAGGGTCAGCCACCAGTTAGGGCCGCGAGAGGTCGGGGCTGTGGTAGAGGTCGGGGCCGTGGTAGAGGTCGGGGTATAGCTCGTGCAGCAGTTGGAGCAGCACCTGTAGTACCACCAGTTGCTCCAGCTCAGGAGCAGATTCCGAATACAGTTGAGTCGGCGGGACCAGCCCAGGCACCAGCTACACCTATTGTGATTCCAGGCCTTCAGGAGGCTCTGGCCCATATATTGACAGTTTGTACTAGTCTTACTCGGGTGGTTTAGGCTCAGGCCGCACCTGCCACTTCTCAGGCCAGGGGAGGTAGTCATACCGTGTTGCTCGTACTTCAGACTAGGTAGTACAGGGACTTCAGATACCGGGGGCACTACCAGCTAAGCCGGCTGCAGCTGCTCAGGCCCCGGTAGCTCTTGTTATGGCAGATGATGAATAGAGGAGACTTGAGAGATTTGAGAGGCTTCGACCTCCACCATTTAGCGGTACTGAGTCAAAGAATGCTTAGGGTTTTCTGGATAGGTGTCAACGGATGCTTCGGACAGCGGGTATTCTAGAGACCAGTGGGGTCTCGTTCACTACTTTTCAGTTTTCTGGGGCTGCCTTCAGATGGTGGGAGGCTTATGAGAGGCGCAGGCCAGTTGGTGTAGTACCACTTACATGGCAGGAGTTCTCCGTTCTTATTTTGGAGAAGTTTGTGTCGCTGTCTCACAGAGAGGAGCTGCGCAGATAGTTTGAGTAGTTACTTCAAGATGGTATGTCTGTGACGCAATACGAGATGATATTTTCTTGAGTTGGATCATCACGCAATCTGTTTGGTTCCCACTGATAGGGAGAGGATTAGGAGGTTCATTGATGGCCTCACATATCAGCTGCGGTTACTTATGACTAGGGAGAGGGTATCTGGTGCTACTTTGATAAGGTAGTTGACATTGCTCGACAGATAGAGATGGTTCGTAGCCAGGAATATGGAGAGAGGGAGGCTAAGAGGCCTCGTGGTCCAGGTGATTACAACAGTGTTCCTTCAAGGGGTCAGTTTTACCGCGGTAGGGGTCGTTTTTACAGACACGCTCAAACGGGTCGTCCAGCTTATCGTGGTGCATCAGCTAGCCAATGTTCTTACAGTGCTCACTTAGGCCAGTCTTTATTTAGTGTACTACCAGCGCAGAGTTCTCATCATGCCTCGTCCGCTCAGGCTTATACAGGTGATTCCTCAGGTTATCAGGAGCAGCAGTTCTGTCAGAGGAGGGTTGTTTCGAGTGCAGAGAATTTGGTCATTTCAAGAGAGAGTGTCCTAGGTTGTTGAGTGGCGCTCCACAGCAGAGTCCTCGACTGACTGGAGGCCGATCAGGTGGCGGTCAGGTCTGATTCTATGGGCCAGATGTTGTTGCTTCAGATGCAGTGATCACATGTATTATTTCAGTGTACCACAGGGAGGCTTCTATATTATTTAGCCCTGGTTCAACTTATTCATATGTATTATCAAATTTTGCTCATTATCTGGATATGCCCCGTGAGTCCTTATTTTCACATGTTTGTATATCTACACCGGTGGGCGATATTATTACTGTGGACTGTGTGTATTGGTCGTATGGGGTAACTATTTGGGGATTGGAGATAAGAGTTGATCTCTTATTACTCGGTATGGTTGATTTCGATGTAATCCTGTGTATGGATTGGTTGTCTCCATGTCATGCTATTCTGGACTATCACACAAAAACCGTGATGTTGAAGATGACGGGGTTTCCAAAGGTTGAATGGAGAGGTTCTCTAGATTTTTTTCCTAGCAGGGTAATTTCTTATTTGAAGGCCCAACGTATGGTTGGAAAGGGATGTTTCTCATATTTGGCCTTTGTGAGAGATGTTGATGCAGATACTCCTATTATTGATTCAGTACCGGTCGTGCAAGACTTTCTGGATGTATTTCCTATAGACCTGTCGGGTATGCCACTCGACAGGGATATTGATTTTGGTCTTGACTTGGTGCAGGGCACTCAACCCAATTCTATTCCTCTGTATCATATGGCACCAGTTGGGTTAAAAGAATTGAAAGAGCAACTTCAGGAACTCCATGAAAAGAGGTTTATTAGGCCTAGTGTGTCACCTTGGGGTGCACCGGTTCTATTTGTGAAAAAAGAAAGATGGTACTATACGAATATGAATTGATTATAGGCAGTTGAACAAAGTTACAATCACGAATAAATATCCCTTGTCGCGTATTGATGACTTATTTGACCAGCTTTACGGAGCGAGGGTGTTCTCCAAAATTGATTTGAGATCTGAGTATCACCAGTTGAAAATTTGGGATTTGGATATTCTAAAGACGACATTCAGAACTCGTTATGGCCACTATGAATTTCTTATGATGTCTTTTGGCCTAACCAATGCCCCAGCAAAATTTATGTATTTGATAAATAGTGTATTCCAGCCATATCTTGATTTATTTGTAGTGGTATTTATTGGTGATATTCTGGTGTACTCACGTAGTCAGGAGGAACATGTGCAACACTTGGGTATTGTATTACAGAGACTGAGAGAGGAGAGACTTTATGCCAAATTCTCTAAGTGTGAGTTCTGGCTTTGTTCGATGGCATTCTTGGGACATATAGTGTCCAGTGAAGGAATTAAGGTGGATCCGAAGAAAATAGAGGAAGTTCAGAGTTGGCCTAGGCCATCTTCAGTCACTGAGATTCGGAGTTTTCTCGGCTTCGTCGGTTATTATCGTCGCTTCGTGGAGGGTTTCTCGTCTATTGCATCGCGTATGACTAAATTGACCCAAAAAGGTGCTCCTTTCAGGTGGTCGGATGTGTGTGAAGAGAGCTTTCAGAAGCTCAAGACAGCTTTGACTATAGCTCTGGTATTGGTGTTGCCTACAGGTTCAGAGTCTTATACTGTTTATTGTGACGCGTCGCGTATTGGTCTCGGCGCAATGCTTATGCAAGACGGTAGGGTGATTGCCTATGCGTCCAGACAGTTAAAAGTACATGAGAAGAATTATCCAGTCCATGATTTTGAGTTAGCAGCTATTGTTCATGCCTTGAAAATTTGGCGGCATTACTTGTACGGTGTCCGGTGTGAGGTATATACCGACCATCGAAGTCTTCAACATTTTTTTAAATAGAAGGATCTTAATTTGGGGCAGCGAAGGTGGTTGCAGTTTCTTAAGGATTATGACATTACCATTCTCTATCATTCCAGAAAGGCTAATGTAGTGGCCGATGCCTTGAGTCGTAAGGCGGAGAGTTTGGGCAGCTTAGCATACTTACCCGTAACAGAGAGGCCTTTAGCCTTGGATGTTCAGGCCTTGGCCAACCAGTTTGTTAGATTGGATGTTTCTGAGCCGAATCGAGTTTTGGCTTGTGTGGTTTCTCGGTCTTCTTTATATGATCGCATCAGAGAGCTCTAGTATGATGATCCACATATGCTTGTCCTTAAGGACACAGTTCAGCACGGTGATGCCAAGGAGGTCACTATTAGAGATGACAGTATATTACGGATGTAGGGTAGGCTATGTGTGCCTAATGTAGATGGTTTGCTTGAGTTGATTCTCTAGGAAGCTCACAGTTCGTGGTACTCCATTCATCCAAGTGCCATGAAGATGTATCAGGATTTGAGGCAGCACTATTGGTGGAGTCGAATGAAGAAAGATATAGTTGGGTTTGTAACTCGATGTCTAAATTGTCAACAGGTAAAGTTCAAGCATTAGAGACCGGGCAGATTACTACAGAAACTTGAAATTCCGGAGTGGAAGTGGGAGCGTATTACCATGGACTTCATAGTTGGGCTCCCACGAACTTTGAGAAAGTTTGATGATATTTGGGTAATAGTAGATCTGTTGACCATAGCTGCGCATTTTATTCCAGTTGGTACTAATTATTCTTCGGAGCGGTTGGTTGGGATTTATATTCGCGAGATTGTTCGCCTACACGGTGTACCAGTGACCATCATATCAGATCGAGGCACGCAGTTTATATCACATTTTTGGAGAGCAGTGCAGTGAGAATTGGGCACACAGGTGCAGTTGAGTACAACATTTCACCCTCAGACGGACGGACAGTCCGAGCGAACTATTCAGATATTAGAAGATATGTTGCATGATGTCATTGATTTTGGGGGTTCTTGGAATCAATTTCTACCACTCGCGGAGTTTTCTTTCAATAACAACTACCAATCGAGTATTCAGATGGCTCCGTATAAGGCTTTGTATGGGAGACGGTGCCGGTCCCCGGTGGATTGGTTTGAGCCGGGTGAGGCTAGGATATTGGGTACTGACTTGGTTCAGGATGCTTTAGAGAAGGTCAAAGTGATTCAGGAAAAGCTGCGCACGGCACAGTCTAGACAGAAGAGTTATGCCGACAGGAAGGTTCGTGATGTTGCTTACATGGTTGGGGAGAAGGTTCTGCTCAAGATTTCACCCATGAAGGGTGTGTTGAGGTTCGGGAAGAAGGGCAAGTTGAGCCCTCGGTATATTGGGCCTTTTGAGATACTTAAGAAAATTGGATAGGTGGCTTATCAACTTGCCTTGCCACCTAGTCTATCAGGTGTTCATCCAATGTTCCATGTATCCATGCTCCGAAAGTAAGTCGGGGATTTGTCTCATATTCTGGATTTCAGTACAGTATAGCTGGACAGTAATTTGACTTATAATGTGGAGACGGTGGCTATTTTAGACCGACAGGTTCGAAAGTTGAGGTCAAAGAACATAGCATCAATGAAGGTACAGTGTAGAGGCCAACTAGTCGGAGAAACTACTTGGGAGATTGAACAGGAGATACAGAACAAATATCCACACCAATTTGAGACTCCAGGTATGATTCTAAACCCGTTCGAGGACAAACGTTTTTTTAAGAGAGTGAGAATGTAACGACCCGGCCGGTTGTTTTGAGTATTATAACCCCGTTCCCACATTTACTACTCAATTTATGGTTTACAATTGTTTTATGACTTACGGGGTTAGTTGGTTCGGGTCCGGAAGGAATTCGGAATAAAACGAGACACTTAGTCTCATAATTGAAAAATTAAGTTAGAAAAGTTGACCGGATGTGGGCTTATGTGCAAACGATCTTGTATTCGAATTCTGATAATTCCAATAGCTCTGTATGATGATTTTGAACTTAGTAGCGTGTCCGGAAAATTATTTGGAGGTCTGTAGTGGAATTAGGCTTAAAATGGCGAAAGTCGAATTTTTGGGAAGTTTGACCGGAGGGTTGACTTTTTGATATCGGAGTCGGAATCCGATTCTGAAAATTGAAATACCTTCGTTATGTCATTTATGACTTGTGTGCAAAATTTGAGGTTAATCGGACGTGATTTGAAAGGTTCCGGCGTTGTTTGTAGAAACTTGAAATTTCAAAGTTCATTTGGCTTGAATTGGGGTATGATTCGTGGTTTTAGCGTTGTTTGAGGTGATTTGAGGGTTCGACTAAGTTCGTATGATGTTTTAGGACTTGATGGTATGTTTGGTTTAGGTCCCGGGTCTCAGACTGTTATGGACCGTATTTTCCAGACTTGGATTCATAATTAGATGCTCATATACTCAGTGACACCAGGTTTTGAGAGTTTTTGTATCGGTATTTTGCGAGGTTTGTGGATTGTATTTAAATATTATATTTCTAAACTTAAAAGAAATTGTGTTATATTGAAAATGTCGGCTTGCCTAGTATCAAGATAGGCGCCATCACGACAGGTTGAGAATTTGGGTCGTGACACATCATTTATGACTTGTGTGCAAAATTGGAAGTCATTCCGGATTGATTTGATATGCTTCGGTACAAAATATAGAAGTTGGAGATTTGAAAACTCATAATTCGATTCGATGCGTGATTCATAATTTCGGCGTTGTTTGACTTGGTTTTGAAGCCTCGACTAAGTCCGTATTGTATTTTGGAACATGTTGGTATATTTGGTTAAAGTCTCGAGGGTCTCGGGTGGATTTTTGATGGTTAACGGATTGATTTTTTGACATTTAGAGATGCTGGAAAATCTGGACAGCTGATGCAATCACTTCTGCGATGTCCTGGTCGCAGAAGCGAGTTAAGGGGAGCTGGGCAAGGTTGATGGAGAAGGCCGCAGAAGCGGCAACATTTGCAAGAAGCGCAGGTGCGGCCACTTTGCTCACAGAAGCGGAGGCAGTGCAGGTGCGCATTTTGGATCGCAAAAGCGAGGCCGCAAATGCGGAAATATGTCCGCATAAGCGAAAACTGGGCAGAGTGTTAAGGATCAAAAATGGTCATTTCGCCATTTTCGTTTTGAATTTTTGTTGCTCGGATTTAGGCAATTCCGGAGGGATGTTTCACAAGCTTGGTTGGGGTAAGTGTTCTATATCCTAAAGTGTTTATATTTCTTGAATCTATGATTTATATTCATCGTTTAATTCGGATTTTAATGGAAGAAATCAAGATTTTTGTAAAATCTTCCAAAAAAGAAAAATTTAAGATTTGAAGGTCGAGTTGTTATCAGAATTTGATAAAATTGGTATGGTTGAACTCGTATCGGAATGGGTGTTCGGATTTCATGAAAATTATGTCGGGTTCCGAGAGGCGGGCCCCGCATTGACTTTTGTTGACTTTTTAGAATAAATTTTAAGTCGACGTTTTATTATCTGAAATTGTTTAGCATTGTTTCACATTTTAATCAATTATTCTAATATATACTTTTCGAAAATATTTACGGACTGCGCATGCAAGTCGAGGAATACTGAAAGATGCTATTCGAGATCTTAGAATACAAAAATAAATGTTTAAAATTAAAGATACATATTGGGTCATCATACTGTTTAAGTTAGTTTCATATTAAGCTTGAATGTATATTCTCGTCTAACTTAACAGCTTGTTTGGATGGTTGTTACGTATCGTTTCATAATGTATCATATCGTACTGTATTGTATTGTACTGTATCGTTTGATAAATATAGTGTATAAATAGATTGTGTCATTTATCATCGTTTCATGATATCACACACCAGCAATATGAAGAATAAACTTGCAATATTATAAAGAAAAATTATGATACAGGATAAAATTATTATATAAAAAGGTAGGGTAAATGATAAAATAAAATTATCTAATAATAATGAAGGGTGAGATTGAGAGAAAAAGACAAGGTAATGACGCGACCATACCAAATTAGTCGTTACACAAAGTGGCACATTTCGTCGTTATGTAACGATGGATTTAACGATACGATAAAATAAAATTTAAGTAACAATCAAAACAAATATCGTATTTAAAGTAACAATACGATACAATACAATGGGTAACAACCATCCAAACAAGCTGCAAGTGAAAATGGTCTCCTGCTCGGTTAAGGCTCTTAAATTAATTGCAATTGTTCAAAAATAATACTTTGATTAGATAGGATACATGACCTTTTGAGATAGTAATACAGTTCAAACCACCAAGAAGTGTAGATATCATCCCGTCACTACCGTAGAAATTTTGTTTAATATAGTAGCTTTCTTTTCTGTCTTTAACTGCTTAATATTTCTTTAAGAGTTGTTTAAAATTTAAGCATAGAATATCATGAATCAAAATATTTTCAATAAGTTAGTTTGGCCTTCCATAATTGATTACCAAATTCTCTAAGCTGAGGCGTTTCATATAATTGAGAAAAGGTGGAATTTTAGATGTTTTCTTCTAAAATAAAATAATATTAATTAACTTAAAACACTTTTTCATTAATTTTAAACGCTAAGCAATCATTCGGCACGTACGTTTTAGTAAATTTTCTCGACCGCGGATTCTCTTGCGTACCGCAGTAATTGACATTTAATAAATTCCTAAATTAATTTCCTCAAATGTAGTAATTTTTCCAAAAGTAATAGCGTACTAATAATCCTTTGGTATGATGGCGGATTCGCTTGCGTAACGCGGTTATGACAAAGTGAATGAAATTCGTTTCGGATACACATTCGCTTCCGTGGTGTGGGTAAGACAACTTAATATTATTCAAAACATCATTTAATAATTTTAATAATCAAGCAATAAAAGCGGACATAGGCAAAACATGAAAACCCAAATAAGACAGTTTCACTACTAGAAATCCGGTAAAAATCGACAAAAAAAACCGACCAACGTTGGTCGGTAATGGCCAAAAACTGACCAAAATACGATCATTTACGTGTGGACGGTATTTTTGTGGTCGGAAAGGAATAACGACCAAAGTTGGTCGGAAATTACCGATCAACTTTGGTCGGTCAATTAAATTCAAAAACGAAATATTGCAAAAAAAAACCGACCAAAGTTGGTCGGTATTTTAGTTATGTAATAAAAAGATTCACCATCTGGGAATTGAACCGGGGTCTGTACTATGGCAGGATACTATTCTACCACTAGATCATTGGTACATTTTGTTTTAAGACTGTCTTTTATTTGATTTATACTCTTTAATTGTATTTTTGCACGAAAATAACCGACCAAAGTTGGTCGATTTTTTTAAATGACCCGCCGAATTAACCGACCAATTTTGGTCGATTTTTTTAATATTAATTTTTATTTATTTTAATTGAAAAACCGACCAAAGTTGGTCAGTTTCTTGAAACATAAATTTCGCGGGACTCAAAAATAGTTTCCCGCATTTTTGCGCCAAAGAAAACCGACCAAAATTTGGTCGGTTTCGTAAAAAAAAAAATATTTTGAAAAACCGACCAATTTTGGTCGGTTTTTTGACCGACCAAAGTTGGTCGGTCGACCTTGGTCGGTTTTTGCCGAATTTCTAGTAGTGTTTGTCAAAAGTTAATTCAAGCCAAGTTGTAGTCTATAAAGCGACCGTACTAGAATCACGGAATTCGGGGAGTGTCTCATACCTTCTCAACGGTCAACAGAATTTCTTACCCAATCTCCTCTTTACGCAGATCAATAATAAATAGAGTCAACCTTCATTTGACGCGGGATTCAAATAAAAGGTGACTTGGAATACCCAAAAATCAATTCCAAGTGAACTCTGAACAATAAAATAATCCTTATTTCAAATTGTCACTTTAATTGAAAAAACTCTTTAACCCTCGTCCATAACATCTATCTTTTAGGGTAATAAAGGGGTGTGACAAAGTTTACCGAGGAGATTTGGAAAGGATTACTTTAATGGGTACAAAGACTACCTCACATGCTCACACTAAGAATAATTGGGAAGATCATCTAGCTTGGGTAATCAAGCTAAGTGTGCCAAAGGAAAATCGCAGCAAGCTTGCACTTTTAAAATGATGTATGCAGAATGTGTATACGCTATATAGATGGAAAGAAATCAAAGGATCTTTGAGAAGAAGAGTAGAAGTTGGGATAGCATTGATAGAGAGATAGTATATATTTGTAATGTTAGAGCTTTGCCCAGAGTTAGAAATGTGTTACACTCCCTAATGCTGTAATTTTGATTATGATTATATTTAGGTTTGTCAATTGAGTTGATGACTGAGATAGCTAGTGAGATCAACTAGCTACTGATTTGTAATGTTCTATTTGGTGATTAATAGAAAAATTAGTTACCAAAAGAAAAAAGGTGATCCTATTTCATTGACTTGGCAGTTAATCTCTATTGTTTTTTTTCTACTTCTTGAGCCGATGCCGATGGTCTTTCGCAAACAGCTTTTCTATTCCTCTGGGGTAGGGGTAGGGGTAAGGGGTGTGTTTGGTATAACGAAAAATATTTTCTGTGAAAAATATTTTCTTGGAAAATAAGTAGTAATCTTACTCATTTTTCGGTATTTGGTGCGCAAATTAAGAAAAATAACTTCTCAAGAGTATTCGTACATAATTTAGATACAACAAACATGAAATCATAAACTTTCGAACCAAAAACCTTTCTAACCCATAAATTTGATAAACTTCGGAACCGCTAAACTTTCGAACCGCTAAACTTTCGAAACGCAAACTTTAGAATAAATTCTATGATTTCTAAACCCGCAAACTTCCAAACACATAACTTTATGGAGAGGGGGCGGGGTAGGCGAGAGAAGGGGGAGGGGGTTGGGTTTAGATGTGAGAATAGGTGGAGTTTTTAGAAAATATTTTCCTAACTATTTCTAGGGAAGTCATTTTTCTCAAATTTCAGGAAAATGTGATATCTAAGAAAACATTTTCCAAACTATTTTGTGCAACCAAACAGTGAAAAATAGGAAAATATTTTCCGTCATACCAAACACACCCAAGGTCTGCGTATATTTTACTCTTCCCAAACTTCACTTGTGAAATTTTATTGGATTGTTGTTGTTGTTGTATATTATTATGCAGGAATAATAGATCCTTTTTTTGTTAAATCCTTATTGCGTAACTAGTGAAGTTGGCCGCTAACAGTACTGCTTTTTCAGAAAAGGTTGCATTTTTCCATAAAAAAACATTTCTTTTACTTTACTACTATGGAAATTTTGGAACATAGAGTTTTAAGAGAAAAATACAAAATGTTGTATTGGGTGTTAGATACACTCGTATGGCCCGTTTCTGGATGAATTTTATGAAGTTATTCTTTTGAAATAATTTAAATTAAGAATATTATATTGTACTGACGCAGTAACATGTAATTGCCGAAAATCTTCAAAGCCATAACCTTTTATGTGTTCTTTTCGGGATAATAAGGTTGCCAACTGAAAATTACGGAAAAATGACATTGTATTGTCGCTCTCAAAATAATAACCGAAGAAGTGTATATTGTTTTATAAATATATATATTCTGTATGTTATATACAAAAATTATACATTTTTTCGACTACTGAAAGTTGCTTCTTTCACCTCAGAAAATTAATCTTGCATTTTCTAGCTAGGTTAGCATGACATAAATTAGAGTTTTAACTTATATAGTTATAAAATAATAGTGTCACCTAAAAGAAAGATACATGATTTTTATAAAGTAACCATATGACATGTTACTTGCTAGACAGCAGGTTCAAAAATTACTCCTTTATTTAAGCATTTTAATTGGAAGACCAATGCTTACAGCTATAAACAATCTTGTGCTACTAACTAATTAGAGCTATGCTAAATATAAGATGGTTAAGAGATCCTATATTAGATAAAAAGAAAAGAGTCAAAAATACCTCTATTATGCAAAATATCTTAATTGTTGAAAAATTAAAATATTTTGTATATTAGTACATATTTCGTTAACATTAATACAAGTACAACATTTGGACTGAACCCGTACCTTTCCTTCTAGCTCTGCCCTAGATATAATCACCTCTATAACTCTTCTTGAGTAGATACCTAGCTTATTTTAATCGTTTCACTTATAGTTAAGTAAAACTAAATACAGAGTTGTATTACTAATCTGCACCAATTAATTAGATAATTATAGTCCTTAAATAGAGCATTTCAAGATCATCACTAGTAAGATCCTTGAAACAAAGATGAAATGAAAGCAGAACTGTGCTCAATAAGTTAATAACAAAATAATAAGGCCGGGAAACTAGCTTAAACTGACAATAATTACTAGTAACATATAAATTGAAGATGTTCAACATTACTACTTAGAAGCTACCTCTCCTACTCCTAAGACATAAGAGTGGGGGAAATGAGTAAAAAGTTGCACTCATGGAGAGGGGTAACTATTGATCCTTAAGTCGTTCTTGATGGGCCGGCAAAATTTTAGGCGATCCGGATTAACATCGTAGGGGCAAGTACACACAATAGTCTGAGGGATGCTATTTAGAGATTAACCAGTACTTATTTTGTCCTGGATGCTTTCCTGAGCTGAGGGTCTATGAGAAATAGTCTCTCTATCTTCATAAGGTAGGGGTAAGGTCTACGTACATACTACTCTCCCCAGATCCCACGGTATGGTATAATACTGGGTATGTTATTGTTGTTGTTGTTATTTTTTCCTGAAATTTTAAAATAAAAATCTTAGTTTCAGGACAACTGAACACATTTTGTTCTGAAAAAATTGAACTAACAAATTAAAATTCATGATGCACCGGTCAATTCTTATAGAGTGGCCACCTGATATCATTTCTACAACATCAAAATACTCATATTGCCTTCATGGCCACAAGTAATTGATAAATAGTAATGATCATGAGACTGTTTGAAGCATGGCCAGAATAAGATGAAGCACTTGATTGCCCACCTCTCGTCCCTTTCATGGCTTGTTCGTCCACCTTCTTCTCCTCCGGCATCGCCTCCTCCTCCTCCGCCTCCAGCATCTCCTCCTCCTTCTCCAGCCACGGAAGGTATAAGCAGGGCTAATACTAGTGTAAGAGCAATGAAAATTAAACTACTACCACAACATTGGTTCTCCTAAACAAGCTTTCCCTATTCTTATTCATCTCTATGTGACTTCTTTTTTAATCTCTATGTAAAGAAAGAAAGAAGTGAAATCGAAGGTGAGGACTAGAAATGTGCTTTAGAACTTGCGCACTGAGTTTGTTTTAACCTAAATATTTTTTAATTAAGATTCCTAGTCAATATATAACTACTCCTATTCTTGAGGAGTTTGTTAGTCAGTTTAGATTTTTAGGATTAGGATAGGATTGAAAATTGCTTTACTTTTATTGAATTCTACCTTGTATATACATTTCACCTTTAAAATTTGCGAGGAATGTGTATACCTTTTTATTTTTCTAAAGTTAACTGACGCAAGGTTGAATCTTAATACGTTGTAAAGAAGCCCTATATATATATATATATGACCTTTTTATTGAACTGAAGTTGTAACTTTTATTGACCTTCTGTGTCTAAATCCATGTTCATTGTCCAGGTGTACTTTGTTCGAAGAAAGGTTTTTAATTCGCGATAAGCAATTATATAGGGCTTTTTTGTCCGATATCCGCATTCAAATCCAACTAAATTCGAATTCGCACGGAGAATCTCACATTCGGGGTAAATCATTTCTTAATACAGACGATTTTATACTCAAGGCTCGAACTCAAGATCTCTTAATTATATAGATTTTATGGAAAAGGTCTAAAAATGCCACTCAACTAATAGAAATGGCATATCTATGTAATCCGTTAAAAAGTTGGTTCATTCATGCCACTAAGTTATACTTGTGGCTCATTCATGCCACTCAACTAACAGAAATGACCTATCTATGTCATCCGTTTAAAGGTTGGTCCATTCATGCCACTAACGTTATACTTTTGGCTCATTCATGCCACTTAGCTAACAGAAATGGCCTATCTATACCATCCGTTTAAAGGTTGGTCCATTCATGCCACTGACGTTATACTTTTGGCAGAATATATAAAATGCGACCTAGACTTGTACCCAAAATCCCTGTTACACACTTGTTGACCATAAAAATATTTTTAGACGCTTAACCTTTCAAAAGTGTATCTATGACACACCACTTTTGTATTTCACCACTCTTTACAAGTAAATGTAATGTCACGCGCCAATGAGATCTTGACACGTGGATTAACTAAGGAAATAAAAGAAAACACTTTAAAAAATCCATTTGCTTCATCTTCCCAAATACCCCTGTCAAGAACTCCATTACCATTACCACCCCCATTACAGAGAATCCATTACCGCCCCAAATAAAGACTCTATTACCACCCATGTCAAGAACCCCAATCGCCTCTCCACCATCCAATAACCCACCGAGACGAGAGAATAATTTCTCCATTGTTGCAAAAGTTGGTTGTTTGTTTATGTTCTTGACGAAGAAGATGATGTTTTAATTAAAAAATTAAAAAATGGACATATGTGGCGCCGAGACGAGAGTTCACACATTTCTTTTCTATTCACTCGCCTACTTTGTGTGTAAAACACGCTCTTGCCATGTAATCAAAATGGTGTGTAACAGACACTTTTAAAAGATTTAGGCGTGTAAAAATATTTTTGTAATCAACAGATGTGTAACAGAGATTTGATTACAAGTTCAGGTGGTATTTTATGTATTCTGCCTTCAAGTTTTGACATAAAGTACTGCAATAAATTTCCTCAACGTAACATCAGTATGCATATCCAAGGCCCATGATATCATGGTTCAACGTGTGGTTCATTTTCTCTCATTTTGGATTTATAAGTTGTTAAACTCACATGCTACCTCGTATTCGAACATAATCCACATGTCCTTACACATTGTAACGACCCGACTTGTCGTTTTAAGAATTTACGTCCCGTTCAATGACTTAAGGTCTCGAGCAGCTTCGCAATATGTATTATGACCTGCGGGTGTGGTTGAGTTTGATTTACTAAAGATTCGGAATTAAATTAATCGAACAATCCTTAATTTGAAGGTTAAATGGAAAGAGTTGACCGAAGCGTTGACTTTTGAGAAAACGACTCCGGAATGGAATTTTAATGATGTCAATAGTTCCGTATGGTGATTTTGGACTTAGCAGCGTGTCGAAAAAATTATTTGGAGGTCTGTAGTGGAATTAAGCTTGAAATGCCGAAAGTTAAATTTTTGGAAAGTTTGACCGGGGGGTTGAATTTTTGATATCGAGGTCGGAATCTGATTCTGGAAATTTGAATAGGTCCGTTATGTCATTTATGATTTATGTGCAAAATTTGAAGTCATTCCGGATTGATTTGATATGTTTCGGCACAAGATATAGAATTTGAAAGTTCAAAGTTCATAGATTTTGATTTGAGGTGCAATTCATCGTTTTGATATTGTTTGATATGATTTGAGGCCTCGAATAGGTACGTGTTATGTTATGGAATTTGTTGGTATATTCGGGCGGGGTCCCGAGGGCCTCAAGTGAGTTTCAGATGCTTAACTAATCGAATTAGGATTTGGAGGAGGAGCTGAAGTAGCTGGGCTGCTAGTGTGATCTCACCTGCGCGAAAAGGGCCGCAGGTGCGAGCTCGCGGATGCGAAAAATGAGTCGTGGAAGCATAAAATTCATGGGCTGGCCAGGCACCGCCTGTGCAAAAAATTTGCTGCGGATGCGAAGGCCGCGGGTGCGAAAAATTGGCCGCGGATGCGAAGGCCGCGGATGCAAAACATGGCAAAAAATTGGCCGCGGATGCGAAGGCCGCGGGTGCGAAAAATTCGCCGCGGATACGAAGGCCGCGGGTGCAAAAAATTTGTCGTGGGTGCGAAGAAATCACCGCGAATGAGAAAACCCCTGGGCAATATAAAAATAGAGGGGTTCCGAGCTTTTGCCATTTTTGGGCATTTCAAGCTCGGGTTGGGCGATTTTTGGGCAAGGTTTTCACGGAAAAACTTGAGGTAAGTCCCTTGTAATCATTTCTACTCCATAATATTGTATTATCATCGAATAATCCGATTAGATTACATATTTTTGAGGTGTAAATCGGGGGTTTAAACTTAGAGATTTGAAAACGAAAAATTAAGATTTGGAGGTTGAGTTGTTATTGGAATTCGATAAAATTGGTATGGTTGAACTCGTATCGGAATGTGTGTTCGGATTTTATGAAAATTTTGTCGGGTTCCGAGGGGCGGGCCCTGCGTTGACTTTTGTTGACTTTTTGGAATAAAATTTTATGTCGACGCATTATTATCCGGAATTGTTTCCGATGAATTTTAATAAAGTTATACAATTAATTTGGATAGATTTGAGATGGACGGAGGTTAATTCAAGCAAGAAGGCTATTTTGGAATATCGGCCTAACTTCAAAAAGGTAAGTGTCTTGCTTAACCTCGAGTGAGGGAATTACCCCTTAGGCATTGAGTCTTATATGCCATTTGTGAAATGTGAAAAGACGTGTACGCTAGGTGATNTGTGATATAAATTGATTTTATTATGTTGCTGTGATAATTTTCCGTATAAATTGTTGTGTTGTGTGAGTTGTTATTTTGGGGAGATAAGGGTGGCATTTCACCATTGATATTATGTGGTTATAAGGGTGGCATTTCACTGCTGTGTTTGTTAGAATATTGTCTGGGCGGAGCGATAAGGGTGGCTATAGGAGCGATAAGGGTGGCAATAGGAGCGATAAGGGTGGCTATTGGTATTGTCTGGGCGGAGCGATAAGGGTGGCTATAGGAGTGATAAGGGTGGCAATAGGAGCGATAAGGGTGGCTATTGTCAGGGACGATATGTGATGATGTGGGGTTGTGGTGTTGACAATTTTCATGTGATGTTGTAATTTTCTTGTGTTTATTTTTATACCTTGTGCAACTTGTCTTGTTGTTAGTAAATTAATAATAATCTTATTTATGTTGAAATTGTGAGCATGTGGCTATTGTCAGGCGGTTTATAAAATGAAATATGGGCACGAGGTACCGTAAATTGTGATATGAAATGGGGATATTGGCATATGAATTGTCCGTGCAGTTGTAATATAAAACGTCGGCACGGGGTACTGTGATGAAATGATAATGGTATTTGGCATGTGAATTGTCCGTGCAGTTGTGATATGAAATGAGGATATGACGTGTCGGGCAGATATGATAATTTAATTATGGGCACGAGGTGCCGTTGAAATATGATAATGGGCTGAGACCCGTATTTACGAAAAATATGAAAATGGGCTGAGACCCGTATTTTGATGAT